AAGCATTGGTCTAGTACAAAGTATGTTTTCAACATATATTTGGTAGGTGCTTAATTCCGAATGGAAGTGGCTCAGTGGGTGGAGAAGTAACAAGAGGAGATCAGAGGAGTGTATTCATCATAGTCACCCTGAACCGCTTTATGGAGCAGGTAGGTAACTGCAATGCTTGGAGCATTTTTTGGCACTATAGTGTTATGCCGAGAAACGCATGCCTGCCGAGAATTGCATGCCCTATCGCGGGAACGCGCATCGCTCTAAACTCTCTCATATTGATGACCGAAGAGGCATCCGTTTCTCGGCATAACACCAGCGCACCCCTGCGATTTGATGAATGAATCCCTCCCCGGCCCTCTCGCCGCCCACTAACAGTGAAATCTTGCACAGAGAAACTTGTGGAACTGGATAGTTTCTTTCTGTTTTGCATACTGAAGTTACCATTTTCTACCGAGGTGGCTGCTTCCTTGTTCCCTGCGCATTTACAGCGGTATGTTGCTTTTTATTTAATTTTTAGTATATTTTTTATTAAGTTTTTAATTATTTTATTAAGTTCCAGTTGTTTTCACAGGATTACAAACCTCAACCTGAAGAACCAGTTTTATGCTGTATTGGACCAACATGCCTCCCAGCTCCAGAGCTTATTTAGGAAGAAAGCTGCTTCCACTGGAAAAGTGAATGATGTTCTGTCTCAGCTGAGAACCCATGATGTCTAGGTTAGTGTTTGTTCTTGTTCTTGTTTTGAGCTTTATTAAGTTTTACCTATTTTTTATTTTACAAAATAAACCAATGAATGGAAGAAAATGTTCTTATGATTCAGGAACGCTGATATTCATGTATGACATGCTGTTCTTCACACCATTTCTCCCTATTTGCACAGACTCCTCCACATTCATCAAAACGTGGGATGAAAGTTTTCAGCAAATTTAACAATATAATTTATTAACCTTGTTCATGTTTCCCAAAACACAAATTTATTTTCACAATAAATTTATGTGTTTTATTAATTTCATAACAAAAAATTACATTAAATTAGTTTTTTGAGTTTTGTAATTCAGTTTATTTTCTATGACAACATAATGCTTTGGATGTTACAGTCACATTTTTTTTACCATAATTTTTTTTTTTTTGTTGTTGTTTTTTACAGTGTAAGGCCACCAAAAAGGATCTCCTAGGGACCAATCTGGGGGAACTGAATAGAGATGGTGGTCTCCCTATTCAAAAAGAGGGTCTGCAGACTGTGTTCCAGCTACAGAGAGATCACACTCTTTAGCCTCCCTATGAATGTCTGATTAGAGATTCTGAAGAGGAGGATCCGTTGGATAGTCAAACCTCAGATTCAGGAAGAGCAGTGTGGTTTTTGTCCTTGTGGAAGACTGAATCAGCTCTACACCCTCAGCAGGTTCCTGGGTGACACAGGCATATTGGTGTGGCGTCTACAGTGAAGCGAGCACTGTACCGGTCTGTAGTGGTGAAGAGAGAGCTGAGTCAAAAGGCGAATCTCTAGATTTTCTGGTCAATCTTCTTTCCTACCGTCATCCATGGTCATGAACTTTGGGACCTGACCGAAAGATTACAGATGCAATTGGCTGAAATGAGTTTTCTCCTCAGGGTTATCAAGCGTCTCTGGAACTCATTACCTTTCCAACTCAGAAAAATCGATTCACTCTCCTCCTGTAACAAATCACAACTCAAAACACATTTGTTCAAAATGGTTTTTCTACCTGATGCCTTTTGCTCTTTCTATCTTAGTAATTTTATTATTGTATTGTATATTTTAATAAACTGTTGTATTTTGTGAGGTGCTTATAAAAAAGTAACTTTTTTATTATTAAAATAGTATGATTTAAAGTAGAGCTACAAGGCAAAGTACTAGCCCTATTTTAAGATTATTATTAAAAAGTAGTTATTTTGGACCAACTATTTCAAAATAGCTGTTAAGATAGCTACTAGTTATTTTTGAAACATGGTACATGGTTTCCTAAACATGCTTAAGCTTTTGTCTGCTGCTGGATTTCTAACTGTTTACTCAATATACCTAGGTATATAAAATTAAATCTCTTTCTGTGCAACAAAAGTCAGCAAGAACATTAGTTCAAATATTAATATATTTATATTTAAGCCGGGAACTGAACCTGCGACAGACTAAAGCCTCCATGTGTGGGTTAAGCTTAACCCCTGCGCCACCACAGCACCTAGACAACCCAATGAAATGGAATTCACCATTGATTTAAGAGTGAAGACAACTGATCAGGTCCTGGAGCTGTGACGTCATTGCGTGGGGTTTCCTTCGTGTGTAGTGAACGTTACGTCGTAATGGCTGAGGCCGGTTGTTTTAGGAAGTCCATGGGCCGCAAACCTGGCTTTGCTCCCTGTAATGCGGTTTAGTGGATGTCTTCTCGGTATTAAGCGGGCAGTGATACAGCCCTCCAACAGCCCCACCGTCTTCAGTCACCCAGAGCTTCTGACTGGGCGACCGACCGGGAACTGCAGCTAGCTTGAAGCAGCGTTAGCTCATGCTGTTTTCACAGCAGATCTATTGAGGACCAAAGGAGCTCTAAAAATCTGAAAATCGCATTTTGACAACATTTTGGAGAGGATTGTATATAACACAAAATAAGGTACGCTAATCGATTTGTTTTTTCTAGGCATAAATGAATGAAAAAGTCAGCTAATATTCCATACCAATGCGCCAAAAACCGCGAGAAGTGAAGAGCAAATGAAAACAAGATGGGAGAAGGTGAAGTTTTGTTAGCTGCTTTTGGTTAAATAACCAAAGCGATCTTAACGCCAAACTCTGGTTTACTGTTGCGGCAGATGTTTTCTTAACTATTCACAATGGTTGGTAAAATGTGATGTATAGTTGCTTTGGAGAAATTGATCTTTTTTATTGTGCCCGTATTAGTACAACATTGTGTAATTTTGTTAGCTTCCACGCTAGCCTCGTGCTTTGTAGCGTTAGCTGACACTTGTACACGAACCCCCAACATTAGCAGTTTTTATTTCTTTATCCATCATGAACTATAATAAAAGGAGGCAAGTATTTTGTTACGCAGGATTGGATTACACGGTATTTGACATTAAGATAAACCGAACTTTTCGTTTAAATTTATCAATTCCAAAGCACAAATCTAGTAGTTCAATTAGTTTAGCAAGAGCATAATTCTTTAACAGCCAACATAGTTAATGAAACAATTCGTCCCATATATATAAGAAAACGAGTGTTGTCCTTAAATTAAATCAGATGTTTAACTAGTCGCTGGCGCGGAACAGACATATCGCCCCGCCAATAGCTGAGTTCACTTGCGTCAGTAGTCAGATATAGCTTGTTGGCTAATGATACAAGGTTAACTGCAGCCACGCGTTATAATATCTTGGCTAGATAAACAGTGACCTATTAAGTTATTAACATTAGGTACTTAAATTATTTCGTATATAGAAGGCATGTTTCTTGATGTTTTATGACCGTGGAATACGCGTTCTTTATAGGCCTTTCAGGCCTCTGAAGTGCGGTTGTTTCGGTCTACAGTGCCTCATTTTAACAGCAGAAGCTAAACAGGAAGCGTCGCTGGTTGCCGCTAGCTACGGTTGGGCTTAAGCACTATAGTTAAGGAGGACGAACATTCAAGAAAGGTGAGGAATAAGATGGCAGAGACGCAATGTTCAGTTGTTGCGTCTCACATTCCCAGAATTATCTATTAGTAGAATTAAGTGAGAAGGTTGCAGTTCAATTCATTTTATTCAGATAGCACTGATTGACAAGTATTATCTGAAGACACTTTCCAAAAACAGATCCAATGTATGAATAGAAATATGTGTTTAGTTTAGCCTAGACATAGACTATTTTAAAGTCAGTTGCATGCATAACACAATTAAATTTAGACTGAGATCAGCTTATACTTCCAATTGGTAAAATTTAAGTAAACCCAACATGCTGAATCATGTCATTATGCTTGCAGCAAGCCTTCCTATGTGAAGGCAATTTATTAATCACCTTTGCACCCTTATATTGAGTGTGCATTGAATTAATGCTGGAATGAAAAATGTTCTTTTAATAGGAAGAACCCTTGAACGGAACTTGTTTCAGTGTGATCGACCTTTGGAGAGATTCTTTTTAAGAGTAGAATATTTATTCTGCTTTTTCAAGAGTAGAATAAAGTTTTCAATTTGTTTTCACAAATCACTGTTTATTGCAGAAATCCAGTCTAATTATTCTAGACATAAAACTAAAGGTGTATAGTTAGTCCAGAGATCTTCAAAGCATTGAAATTTTCCTTTCTGAAAGTTTTGAATCAGCTGTTGAATCAGATGTTGGCAAGCAGAATGAAATGGTGTTAAAACCAGTCACTCATTGACTCTTGTTCCACGAACATGAATGTACCAACAATAAGACATAAAACATGAGAAGGACTCACTGAATCTTGCATTTTAGATGTTTAGAAATACCTCTAGGGAATAAATGCTCTGTCATGGACAGGCTGCATGCTGTTTTCACAATTTCCACTGCAGTTATTCAAAGTGGATATGTCATGCTTTTAAATTCTTCCTTTTCACATGTAAGTCATTCATTTATGGTATTTAAAGTAGAACAGCAATGCTTTGGTCTGAATTCCTCGTTATAGTTCTTCAGACCCCTCGTTTTGCTGCGGTCTTTTTAAATGTGAAAGAGACATTTCAAGTCCCACTCCCCTCCAGATTGCACAGGGTTCACTTCACTCCATTTGGCCATATTTATAGTTTGATGGCAGTGACACGGTTATCTACTGGTAGAGAAACCTTTTATTCCAAAGTTTATTAAAGATGTCAACAATGGAAGACTTGTCCATCCAACCTTATATGTTAGAGCCAGAGTCTGACCCAGAGCAGGAGGATGAAGACGACCAACCTGCAGAACCACATATCCAAATAAATGCATCACAGTGGTTATTAGTTATTAGTGTATTTTACAGTCTCTCCATCCACACCAATTACATACAAAATGGGGTGTAGGTTCACCATAGTTTCCAAGGATGTCACATACCTATTGAAATATTAATGGTTCCATAACGTGAATGGAGTAGGAGTGCGGGATATGGGTTAGAACAGCGATTCTGTTGAAGCCGGCCAATGCCTGCAGCTGAACTCTCCTAAACCTTAAAAAAATGAGGGTATTTAAATATTTTCGGGTAAGATATTTCTGCAATACCAAAATAAAAGAGGTGTTCCTTCAGAAGGTAACACTATTGTGCAAATTTTTACAAATGCTTATACTCACCTCCCATGTAAAACCGTTTCCAAACTATATAAGGGGTTGCAGAAACATAATGGAAATAACACCTTGAATATTAAGACAAATTGGGAAAGGGAATTGGGAGTGAAAATTACGGAGGGTGATTGGCTTTCAATATGTGTGACACAACAGACATTACCAGTTCGAAAAGATGGAAGGAATTCGGATGGAAGTGGTTAATTAGATACTTTATTACACCTCAAATTATTAGTAGACATAGAGGAGAAGAACAGCAATGTTGGAGACTGTGGCCATCAGAACATCAATCACTCTCATGTATTTTGGTCCTGCTCAAAGTTGGCACCTTACTGGGATGGAATCTGTCAGACTACTGGGATCATTTTGGGGTATGTCATCCCCAAAGACCCCAGAATTTTTCTGCTGGGGCTGTTAACTGGAGAAGTGTTTCAAAAAGAAGATGAGTATCTTTTTAAAATTCTATCAATTGCAAGAAAAAAAGCTATTACACGGTTTGGCTAAAGAAAAATGGAAATAATCCAGTGTGTGCTGAAAATATTGGTTTAAACTATATGATGACTAGTCAAGGCAGCTGTGCTGCTCCTGCATGTGGGAGGAGCACATGCTGAATTCTCTTTCCATCAGATTTCATGATGGAAAAAATATGGCCTGTGATTCATCACTCAACACAAATTAGCAAAACTCCAGTACAGTTCTGACTTTTTCAAAAACATCTTTTTAACCGGCATTCTCTCTTTCAGGTTTATTTCTGGGAACTTTTTTTACCAGTGGTTCGCACGTCCCTATTGTGGAGTTCAACATGGCTGGCCGCAGTGAAGATGAAAGTGTGAGCAATAGCAATGGAGAGTCAAGGTAAAGTAACTCCTCCTTACAGGATGACTGCACACTGGAACATTCTGTTTTGATAGTTTGTCATTCAAGTATTTTTAATACTCCTGATCATTTTTCTGATTCTATTGACTAAATTGACATTAGCACCCTAAATATAATTAATTTAGTTTGTCACTTCTCTTTATTTTTGCTTATGTCTTGTTTTATTTGAGTTAATTTAATGTAAATTTAGAGGATTGAAATACAGGCTATAAAAGGAGTGTTATTTTTAAGGCTTCCTGCATGTTTATGCAAAAATCCTTATGCTGAACAAAAACATTTCACTAGGAATAAATGGATGTAGTTATATTTTGTGACATGCTGATGCACATATTAATATTTAGGTTTTAAGCTAGCTTTGTTTCTATAATCTTTTTCAATAAATCTCACAAACCATAAAAAGATCTGGAATAAAATCAATTCAAAAATGAAAATGATCAGATTATTTTATGTATGTACATTATTGCTGGTAGACCTGTTCTACCTGCACCACAAATGTATACTGGAAATATTAATGTTTTTTCTACAAGTATACTGCTACTGTGAAACAATCTGAATGAAAGTTTCATTCTCATAGGTTTTATGAGAAATATCTTTAATATTATCAGGGGTTTAAACTGACTAAATAAATTGAAAAACTCTCAAAATAGTATTAAAAAAAACTGGCAAGAAGTGTACACATTCCAGTGCAAAAATGTCTAAACTTCATTATTAAAAATAAAGAACGAAGCAGTGATTCTTTTAGAAAGTTTCAACTGGGTCAGTTAGTAAGACTGCCTGTTTTAGTTTTATGATACTTTGCTTATCTTTCATCTGCATCATAACAACAAAAATCATCATCTTCACTACACTGAGAGGTCATCCTTTGCCATTAGTCTGTTTCGCAGAGGACTTCTCTTGTTTAAGCAGCACATCTTCTCTCTGTTGTCTAGGATTATCTGTGGTCTTCTGTGATTGACAAGTATTAGGATTAGTTAGTTTTCATGCAAGATAGAATCTTGATTAAATATTTTAATCATAAGTTTGTATTTACTGGGATGCTAACAAACACTTGTTTGTTGAATTTTGATTTAACTATAAGATTATAAAGTTATGATTTATTTATTCAACAACTACTAATATGTTTTTGTCTTCTCACATTCAAGTAATTCTGATGATGAGTCTGGGTCAGGCTCAGCCTCTGCTTCGGGTTCCGGCTCCAGTTCCAGCTCCTCCAGCAGTAGCAGCCAGTCAGGGAGCAGCGACTCAGGGAGCGCCTCAGACTCTGGCAGTCAGTCTGAGTCCGACACTGAGAAATCCAGTGAGAAAAAGGAATCACCAAATAAGCCAAACATTGATGGAGCTGAGGTAAACAAATTCAAGATGTCAGTTGGCCTAGCGCATTTGTGACTAATTTAAATCGTTCTGGCAAATGGTTCTTTCGTTTGTATTATGGCTTTTTTTAGACGATTATTTTAGTAATCGAATATTCTATTGATTATGCTGACAATTAATTGTAATTAAGTAAAAAATTTATAAAATAAGATCTTGGTAAATTCTACCAAAACAGAAGTATTACTATTGGATATGAACATTGGCTCAAATTTTCATGTTTTACATCCCTACAATTACTTTTCTATAGTTTAGAAAACTAGCCAGTAACAGTAATAGCTCACTTTTTAAGTTAACCAGGACAAAAATTATACAAAAATCTGAAATTATACTCAAATTAATAATTAAATAAAGACACTTCTAAAAAATGTCTGCTTCATTTTTTAGTTTATGTATTCATCTTCTGTTAATTTAATAGATGAACTCTCACTTTGCACAGCCATTTATAGCTTTTGTGTCCATGTTAATGACTGGATTTGGCTCCTCCATCACACACAGAAATGCATCTGCCAGCCATGTACCGCCACGATGCACTACGCCACAACCATTGCAACCGGGGTGATATGAAATTTATTTTCTGGTTTGTCTGTAAAGCTATACTTAGGTTAAGCATCAAAGCACAACTGCCCGGCAGTGTTCAGTCCATCTGCTCACCTGTATAAATACACCTGCAGCGCTCTTCGTTCTGAACCATCCACCAAGCAGCAGCTCTGGGAGGAGAGAGGCTGCGGTACTCCAGGCATCACGCCAGTCAACTTAAGAATGCTGATTGGTCCCCCCAACAATGATAAAAACCCGGACATTATCATCATTAATGAAATCCCCCCAGACAGAACTTCAAACTTGTATGTTCATAGGCGGAAGTGAGAACGCTGCGCAACGCAAATAATCACCCTAACCCAGAACACAGAATAATAAAACATAACTAAAGCTTTGAGGCAGCTAATTTTCCTTGAGGACTTTTAATTATCAAGGTATTCAAATCATTCGAGGGATCGTTGCAGTCCTAGTTTGTATTCATTTAGTTTTGGTTCTTCATTTAAAACAGTTACGTGCTGGACACACAGAACTACTAATTTGACTTTATTTTAACATAACATTGCAAATAGATTTTGTTTAAACCACAAAGTCATCAGAGTTTTTTCCTATAATCACAGCTTTGTAAAAGTGTGTTTAAATTTACAAACAGGTTGTACATTCAGCTTCAACACCACTTTGCAACCATTTCTCATATTTTTGGATAAATGCTGAGATGGACAGTAGCTGTTTCTGTACAATAATGTATTCATATACATACATGGCATTTGTTCATAGACCTCCAATTTTATGTCACCATGCTTAATTTGTGTGTGTGTTTCTCTAAATCTGGCAGATTTCATTCATAATTATCTTTTCCTGCTTTATGAAATATACAGTTTTTACAATAACATAATTATGCCACTAGTTAGGTCATATGCACATGTAAATTAAAGAAATCCTATAAAGTCCTGAATCTGCTCCAGCAGTCAAGGTTTGTGTGGTTAGTTTGACACATTTTTCTCCTTGCACTTAGGCACTTTTTGGCTTTTGTTCCTGTATTTTTTCTGACCCTCCCCACCACTTATTTGCTCACTTTTGTCATTAGCTGAAATGACAACAAAGGTCAATGGGCTGGGACTCGATACCATGATTCAACTACACCCATAACATTATTTTTGTAATTTAATTTTCATGGGCCTTTTTAGCCTACTGAAATGTTGTTTTTATCTGTTTAGCTGTAAAACACAGTTTTGACTTTTTTTTGCATCCAAATTAATTTTAATGAGCTGATTTCTAAAAGTTGACTCTGAAACAATGACTCCTGCCTATGTGTTTAATTTCTCTATTATGCCCTTTTTATTTTTAGGCAGATTGCTTTTAGCACAAAAAACATTTGTATTTCTGTTTTTGGGTAAACTTTTCTTGAAAATGCTTCATCCAGCTGACTGGAAAGAAGGGACATTTTTTGCATAACTGAAAAAGGTCCTACCATTTGTACCTTACAGCTCTGCTGGATTGATGTTTCCAGTTAGTCAGGCAGCAGCTCTGACCGTTTAAAATCTGTAGACTTTTCTTTTAACTGTACACATTTTTAATGTTGTTTATTTTGGAGCAAATGTCAAAAGTTTTTTCTTGAAAATAAATTACTCAAATTTTAGTATTGCTTCATGTATTTTATTTAACAAAGTCTAAAAGTTAAACTCAGAAGATTATTTTCTATTAAATGTATTTATTGGATGTTGCAGGAGTTGCATTCTTTTTTTCTGTTGTTAATCACATAGTTGTGTCCTAAACTTCGGTTTAGATTACTAATTTCTTTTGCATTAATCACAGTTCTGGAAGTCCAACCCCAGCATTCTGGCAGTTCAAAGATCGGCTATGCTCAGGAAACAGCAGCAACAACAGAGACAAGCTTCTTCTAACAGTGGGTCAGATGAGGTCTGTATTCAGCTGCTTCTTTGTGTGTTTATGATGTTTAATGCAGGGTATTGCGTATAATATCCTTTTTTGAGTTTTACATAATATTATTATGTTACTCGTGCATGATATTCCCTCATGCTTGTTTGAGAAATACTTGAATCTCCAATGGCAACCATTCCAGGGCGCCTAAACTGGAATGGTTGCCAGTATTTGTGGCAACCATTCCTCTTTTTCTAATTTAGCCATAAAAATATAAAGACATTAAAAAAACTCAACAAAAGTTGCATAAATGAACAAGACCATTCCCATATCTCACTCAACTCCCCTTCCCTAGGACTTGTATCTTATCACACAAATGAATCCTTCTGCATGGTAAAGCGTGCTCCCTTTACCATGCAGTCTTCAAGCCATGCATCAGTGCCACTTTGCTCCTTCAGACTAGTGGC